AGTTGCTTAGGGCCTCGCTTTTGCTGAGGCTGGCTTTGAACTCACGATCCTCCTACCTCAGCCTCCTGAGCCTCTGAGATTACAGGAGTGTGTCACCACGCCTGACCTGAGTCCCTTTTAATAACAACACTTACTTCCACATCTGGCATTTTCCCTGAACCAGCAACTCAGAGGATTTRAACCAATGAAAGACAAAGGATGCCAATGTCCTGAGGTCACAAATGAAATTGAATCAGAAAAAAATTCTTAAASTAATGATGTCAGTAGCTTCACAAACACTTTGCTCTCCTTGACCCTGTTTTAAGGCCTTGTCTCTGTCTGGTGAGCTGGCAGCCTCCGGTGAGCAGGTTCTCGGGCCTGCTGCTGCCCGTACAGCGTTGCTCTGTGGTGTCGTCTGAACACCCCTCATAAGGCAAGCGTGTGGCACAGTCTCAACCTTTCTCTGTGACTTCTGACCATTTTCTGCCCARCCCCTGTACTTATTTAGATTTATGCCCTTATCTGTCTCTCCTGCCCATTGCAGAGAGAGATGAGTGACTGAGTAACTAGCATTTTAACTGTTAAACTTTAATAAATATGAAATATTCTTAAAAATAAAGGCCTGAAWTATGATGAGATTTCAGGTGTCAGCCATGAGACCTAAGGGACTCTTAGAGCTTCTGAGGTTACCCAGGAAAAAATAATACTAAAAATGATAACTAGCCTGGTGTAGAAGCACATGCCTATAATTCCAGCAACTCGGGAGGCTGAGGCAGGAGGATCACAAGGTCAAGGCCAGCCTCAGCAACTTAGTGAGGCCCTAAGCAACTTAGTGAGACCCTGTCTTTAAATAAAATAAAAAGGGCTGGGGATGTGGCTCAGTGGCAAAGCGCCCCTGGGTTCAATCTCTGGTACTGCAAATAATAATCACAACAACGACAGCCATTCATTGGGTACCTCTGGCTTATCCATCACTGCTCTAGGTACTTTAATGATAATAGTTTAATTATAGAGCCTTTGCTGTGTACCAAGGTGATTTGAATTAAATATTTAATTTAAAGATTACCTTATTTAACTGCCCCTGTAACTCAAGAGAAGTAGTTTTATTTTCAGTGGAATGTGGATAAACTGACTCACAGACAGACAGAGCCAGAGACAGGAGAAAAGAAAGGAAGGCGGACAGGGAGAAAAGCAGCAGCTGATCAGCAGAGCAAGGGTGGTCAGTCCACTGTGGCTCCCTTCAAGCTGCTGACGGTCAGCACCCAGCAAGGGGCAGCTGGATCCAGCAGCACATCYCCTAGACTGAGAGCTGGGAATCGCCTCGGGAGAGTGAGCCAGGTCCATTCACAGTGACCGCTGGCCCGGTCTTAGCACCTGCAGACATGGAAGAGTCGAGGAGAGGAAAGGACGGGGAGCCACCAAGGTGGACGTTGTGATGCGGAAGCCAGAGCCTGGCTCACATCACRGGCCGCATGATCTTGGGTGGGTCCTTTACCCTGTCCAGCCTCAGTGTCCCCGCGTGTCTGAGAGAGCCAACGACAGCGCCCGCCTCCAGCGAGGGGCCTCCACCGTGACTCCTGGGCGTTGTCTGGYTCCTGGGGACCCTGGGAGACTCGGAGGGGCTCCTTCCCGAGGTGGAGGAACAGGGACAGAGGGGCCTGGGCTCCTGGGAGTGAGAGGGCACAGGCAGAGGGACGTCCTCTGAGTGACAGCAGCCTCACTTCTCTCTTCTGTCCTCTCTCCTTCCAGCTAGCGCCATCATAGGAATCATATTCATCAAAGAAAAATGGAAACCTAGAGACTTTCTGAGTAAGTCCATCCCTCGATCCCCGYCCTGCGTTTTATGCTTGTGTCTTTTATTCAAGATAAAACCCAGCTCACCCCAATTAAGAGACCGCCCGCCGCCTGTCCCTGTCTGTGATTCTGTACTGTCCTCAGCGCCCCCGAGCTGGGTGTTTTGATCACTGGTCCCCAGGCCAGGCTACACACCAGAACCGTCTGTGAGACTTTTGAAAATGGGCCTTCATTCAYTCCATCCGGTCTGCATTTATTGAGCATCTATTACTGGGAGCCTTGAGGCCTGGGAAAAGGCCCACTGAGTTCCAGAGCAATAGGGTCAAACCCAGGAGGCCGGATGTTGTCACTGTTACCAATAAAGGCGGGATTGGAGCCTGCAGCTTAGGTGTRCAGCCCCAAGAACTTATTCACAGCTCCCACAATGTGCCCCAGCTCCCAATTAGCCCTGAGACCAATATCTAAACCCCTAGGTTTAAACTTTTAAGAATAGGTCAGCTCCACCCAGTGGAAAACATGGACCATCAGTGTGACAAGTTACTTTAACAGAGGTCCCTCCACATGGAGACCTGAGGAGCRGGGAAGAAGTGTTCCCCCCAATCACCGAGTGCCATGCTGTGTTGTCGGTGCTGGGGATGTAGCAGACGGGGCTCCTGCTCCCACAGAGATGCCAGTCTCTCGGTGTGAATGTGCGTTGGGGATACAATAAACAAGCAAACAACCAACTCAGATCATTTTAGATCASAGAGAGTACTTCAGAAAAAAACAACAGAGCCAGGCCTGGAGGCATGCGCCTGTAATCCCAGCAGCTCCRGGGGCTGAGGCAGGAGGATTGCAGGTTTGAAGCCAGCCTCAGCCATTTAGCAAGGCTGTAAGCAACAAAATGAGACTCTGTCTCAAAATAAAAAGCAATCGAAAGGGCTGGGGTGTGGTTCYGTGKTTTAACACCCTTGGGTTCAGTCCCTGGTATCAAAAAGAAAAGAAAAAGAAAACGAAAGAATGGGCATTAAGGAAGATAATTTATTTTTTAAAGAAAACCCCCCAATACAAACAGGTCTCRGGTGCTGCAAGGGAAACCTGACCTTGTGTGACTGAGGCACCCCCTGCTCTGGGCCTGTGCCCACAGAGGCCACTGACAGCCCCTCCCTCCCTGCAGGGCGCTATGTCTTGTCCTTCGYGGGCTGCGGTTTGGCTATCGTGGGCACCTACCTGCTGGTGACCTTCGCCCCCAACAGCCACGAGAAGATGACGGGCGAGAACATCACCAGGCACCTCGTGAGCTGGCCCTTCCTCCTGTACATGGTAAGAGAAGGCCCCCAGGACCTCACCTGAGACGGCAGGAGGGGATCGGGTCCAGGAAGCAGAAACCTCAGTACCCAGCAGTAGGGGATTCCAGGAATCACARCACGTCTCACGGTCTCTGAGGCCAGGCTGGCGGGAGTCACAGTTCACAGGAGTGTGGATGCCACTCGTCCTCAGTGACAGCTGGAGCCGCACGTGGCATGATGCCAGCCTCACATTCCTGGGGCTGTTCAGGTTGGTTCATAGACTGTGTCTGTGAAAACCACATGAAAAAAACAAATTCCAGGAAGTCGTCTCTGAGATGGAATTTTGACTTATTTTCATTTATTCTTCATCTTTCATCCAGAATTTTACAGTGACCACTGAAAATCTTTGTGACAAGTTGAGATCATAAGAGGCTTAAGCACGTTATTTCCCTGGTGCCACCCAGCTGTTGGCGGCTGATGGAAGGCCAGGAGGGGCCGTTGGGGCTCCGTGAGGTTAGCTGTCCCGTCCGAGGCAGCAGGCCAGGCCACCTGGCCTCGCCTGCCACCCGCTCCCCTAGGGCCAGCTGCCTGGTGCTCACTGTCTTCCTCTGATCTGAGCAGCCGGGACCCYGACTGGGCCTCGAGTTCCCTGGAATATCCTTTTCCTCTGAGAGGCCACAGGAAGAGGATGGATTCCCCTGACCATCTCCCTACCGCCAGCCAGGTCCAAAGTTCCCTAGTGGGCATGGAGAAGTGTGCACAGGACAGAGCCAAGGTCCTGCCCCTCCCAGGAAGCCTTGGCCCCAGCAGCCCTTTCACTTAGGGAGTCTTGAGCACAAATCCCTCATGTGCTGTGTGGCCTTGGGCAAGTCAGTTTCTCTCTCTGTTTTCTTCTCTGTGAAGTGGCAAGAATCACTGGATTTGGGATTGTGGTTGGAGCTACATGRGGTGGCGTGTAGGTCACCCAGCACCAGGTAGATGCCCAGAGTCAGTTTGTCTCACTCTGTCATCACTGTGAGGCAGCGCTTCCAGCCAGGGACTTGGCCAGACCAGATTAATAACTATTTACTGCATGCTTCCCGTGAGCCAGACATGGAGGGTTAAGAAATCAGTGAGATTCTGATTTCCCCGTTCTGCCATTGGCTTACTTGGGACTGTGACCACATCCGCTTCATAGAATTGTTTTGCTGATGAGTGTGACAGTCCTCACAGGACTCAGGGCCTCTTGGGAGGCGCCAGCGCCCCGGCAGCCACCTTGGGACTTAGCGCCAAGGGCTGTTGGAGCACTCGTTGAACCGTGAAGAACCATCGGGAAGATTGGGACCCCAACCCAGCCCACCCCTGCTGAACACAGGCACGACCTGGAGCTGTTGGTGGTGACCCCCACATCTGCCTGGTGGGRTGTCCCTAGCAACGGAAGATGATTATGATGGCCTGGTGCAAATGAGATTGTTAATGTAACCAGAATCCTCCCAACAGGAGGTCACACCCTGACTGTGGCAACGAAGGCCGGGGAGAAGCAGGGGACGCGGAAACTGAAAGAATGAACAAGGCTCGTCGTCGGAGAAAATGCCCGTTTATTGAGGAACACCTCTGCATATTTATAGAGCCAGGGGCGGTTTGACAGTTATGACAGTTTAACGGTTGAAGGGTTTGACAGTTGGCATGGGGTGCTTTCTGATTGGTGGGTAAGGATCATGTGAGCCAGCAGGGCTAGTCTGATTGGTGGGTAAGGATCATGTGAGCCAGCAGGGCTAGTCTGATTGGTCGGTAAGGATCATGTGAGCCAGCAGGGCTAGTCTGATTGGTCGGTAAGGATCATGTGAGCCAGCAGGGCTCACCATTGGACAGCTCTTCTTGGGGTATGGGGAAGTTAGTCTTTGGAGCCGGGGTGACTCCCGACAGAAATGGCTTGTGTCTTAGGTCCTCGAATCATAAGGACATTATTTTTTTTCTTTTTCAAACACCCGTTGATGTTTCTGYGTTGGTTTCTTTGCGAAGCAGATTCTGTAGGGTGTGGGGTTGGCGGGGCGCTGAGCCCTGTCCCAGTTCCTGCTTTGAGTTGCTGGGTGCTGGTGGCTGACGGGGAAGCCGTGGCCAAACGCCGGGGCTCTGAGGGTGGAAAAGAGAGTCACTGATGCAGGGTGGGGGGCACCTCTCAGAGTTCAGGCTGGGCGTCTGGTGGTCAGCTCTGCCAACGGAACACCTGGCCCTGACCTCAACTACGTGGTCTGGTGAGACTGTCCATGGTCTAGGCTGCCCAGGCTGCCCAGGTTCAAAGCCCCATTCTGCCATTGGCTCACTTGGGACTGTGACCACATCCGCTTCATAGAATTGTTTTGCTGATGAGTGTGACAGGGATAAAGCGCTGAGAACAAGGCCTGCCCCATGACCAGGCTCTTTAGTAAGCGCCTCCTCTGTCCCTGGAGAGTTAGGATTATTATCCCTGCGACTCAGAGCCGGTGGCTGAGGGTTAGGGAGGTCAACTTGCCCAAGGTCACGCACCAGTCTGGAGACAGCKCAGCTGCGTCTCATTCCAGATGCCTTCCTCCTCCTGGGTTGGGACAAGGGGGGTGAACACTGTGTTCCTGACCAAATGGCTGGGTGAACAAGTGTCTCCTCTTCAACCCACCCAGGTGTGATGGGGACACCCCTGGAGGAGTGACGTGGGGACAGCCCATCTCAACCTGATGAGACCAATGGAGATGAGGCTGCCCATCTCCCTCCAAGCTCTGGCCTGAGGGAGCGGCAGCTGTCCCGTGTTGCCCAGGGACAGGACCCCTCCCGGGGCGTCTCCTTCCCACTGGATCTGGCAGTAGAAACGCTTGGTGTTCAGCCCCTTTAACTCAAAGGGCCCGTAACTGAGAGAGCGGCAGGCCAGATGGCCCTGCCCTGCAGGGACGCCCCTGGGCCCTCGGTGGCCGCTCTGACCTCCCCTTGCTGCCCCGTAGCTGGTGGAGATCATTCTCTTCTGCCTGCTGCTCTACTTCTACAAGGAGAAGAACGCCAACAGCATCGTCGTGATTCTCCTCTTGGTGGCTTTGCTCGGTGAGTGGGGCCTGGGGGTGGGGTTTTGCCAGTGGCCTCAGAAGGAAATGGGGGTTTTGTTGATGGAGCTGAGGCCTCTGCATGCAGAAGCCTCTGATGCCAACCAGGTGGGCGATCCGTGGGCAGCTGCAGGAGCAGGGGTCCTGCTGAGGGAGGCAGCCCCTTCATTTCCAGGATCCTCACTCATAGGAGCCTCCCAAGAGCCGGGAGCTGCTGCTTCCACAGTGGGACAGAGGACAGACTCGTTCTGTCCTCGGGAGCCTCCATCGAAGGAGGCGATGGCCTTGGGCAGGTTGGCAACCGCGTGGGTTGTGTGTGGGGCCTTGGCACCAGTAGGGAGGAAGCCTCAGGCAGAGCAAGGAGGCRAGCCCAGAGGTCACTTAGAGGAGGCCGGAGGTGGCGCAGCCCTCCAGGGGCCATGCAGAATCCATGCTGGGCTCCAGGCAAAGCCAGATCCTTCTCTCCCTCTCCCTCCCTCCCCCCATTCCTCTCTCCCTCCCCCCACCTCTCTCCCTCTCCCCCCACCTCTCTCCCTCTTCCCCCATTCCTCTCTCCCTCTCTCCATCCCTCTCCTGTCCTTTCAGAAGGATGGTTCTGTTGGGGAGATGGCTCCTGAGTCTGGTTAGTGGACAGACGGACCCACCTGCATGTAACTTCATAGGAGAAGGGGGCACGCGTCCGCTGGGCGCTGCCTCTTGCTGATGCTCTGGTCCCCGGCTGGTGACTTTCCCTGTTTAAGCCACTGTCCTCACTCTAAAGAGGGGTACAAGAGAACCCCACCTGGCCGGGAGGATCAGGGCTTACRTGGGATGGGCACGAAGACCCGGTTCCTGTGGCTTCTCTTCTGCCATCCCTGAGCACGGGTTTGCATTGTTCTAAATTATTATTTTGGGGGGACGGCTTTATGGAGTTAGAATTTACATGGCATAACCCCCCCRACCCATTGGAAGCCCACATGTCTGGGCTCTTAGTGCAGCCCCGGAGCTCTGCAGCCCTCCTCTAGTGCTAGAACGGCTTTGTCACCCCCCAAATAAACCTCGMGCTGTGAACAGTTACTTCCCGTCCCCTCGACTGGCCCAGCGTCCCTTGCCCAGCCCCAGCCTCCCCCACCCAGAGCTCTGCCCTTGGCATCTTCTCTGTGTGGAGCCTGTGGCCTTGGTGACTGGCTCCTTTGGCTGAGCATGGTGTTTTGAGGCTCACCCTGTCACAATGTCAATAGGTCCTTGTTCCTTGGTGACGACTTTCCAAGTGGGTTGGAGGAACCTGGGTCCAGAAGCATCCTCTCCTCAGGGGTAGGAAGGCCATGGTTCTGAGGCAGCGGGCCAGTCCCCTGCTCTCCCAAGGGCAGCCTGGTGGCACGAGCCCATCTTCAGTGGCTGTTTGGAAACTGGCCGAGGGGCCCAGAAGCCACTGTGCGGCAGGCTGTGGCTAGAGAGGGCAGAGCAGGGACTGGGCCAGGCCCCACTCACCTCCTGCTCGGGGTCTGTTCTTGTAACCCCTGCCTGGCAGGGCACCTGACCGTGTGTGCCCAGGAGCCGTCCTGCACCCTGGGGCAAGGCCATGGTCTCCAGGGGGTGATGGGACGCTCTGCTGAGGCTACCTASGTGATATTTTTTCATTTCCCTTTTAAATTATATTTCCTGTCCTTGATTTATAATGTATATGCCACACGAGGACAGTGTTGTGTGACCAGAGTTCTGAAATACATAAGCACGCACGCATGGGGAGTGTGTGTGCGTGGCATGGGGCGTGCGTTCTGAAACACTGGAAACTTCTTGGGATAAAGAAACGTTTTTAAAAACACAAATGGCTGAGCATTGAAAAGCTCCTGGGCCCTGGGCTCCGTGTTTTTCCTGTGGCCGCCACGAGGCTGCTGCTCCAAGGAGGTTCGTTGATCCACCTGAAACTCCTTTGGGCCTTGTGCTTCTGCTGCGAGCCGGGCGCAGGGTGGGCACTCAGGTGCAGAGGACTGAGCACACTGGCCCCCTGAGGCAAGCTGGAAACACCTGTCTGTTCTGCTGCCCCCATGTCTTTGATGAGAGGTGAAGAGAAACAACCCAAATGTCTCATCTCACCATTAGCAGGTTGGCTACTGGCCCACCCTCATCTCTCACCAGGTCCTTAGGGGTCATACKCCCACCTGACTCCCGCATCTCCCGGGGACTACCCGAGCCCTTGTCCTCCATCTGCAGGCTCCATGACAGTGGTGACAGTCAAGGCTGTGGCTGGGATGCTGGTCCTGTCCATCCAGGGGAACCTGCAGCTCGACTACCCCATCTTCTACGTGATGTTCGTGTGYATGGTGGCCACCGCCATCTACCAGGCTGCGTGAGTCACAGGGCTTTCCCGCCTGAGCCTTGCCATGCAGGCCTCTTGTGTCCTCTGGATCTGACAGCATTGGGTTTTAAAGCCATGGGGAGGATCCGATCCCGGGGTTGACCTCCAGGGTTATAGGAGGGACAAGGGCGCTGAGCTGTGGACTCTGTGCCGCCTGAAAGACAAGCCCAGGGTGGATTTTCTGTTCCCCCACACTGTGAGGACCTGTGGTGAGGCAGCCTGGCTCCCCCTCTTCTCCCGGCGGGCCTGTGTCCATCTGAGGACTTCAGGCCAGGCCTTGCCCTCCCTAGGAGGCGGCCACTTGTCTGCTGGGTGGGAAAGTAAGGGATGTCATTTCTGTTCCTCGGGAAATCACCCCAAACCTTCCCAAGTCCGAGAGTGTGCGTTCCTCTCTCTCCGCACAGGAATTGAACCAGCAGCCCCGAGGACGGCCTGGGCCACGGCCTGGGCCTCGCCCTGAGCCCTGTTGCCCCAGCAATGTTGCAGGTGGCCAGCCTGCAGAGGGGGCACGAGGCTCATTCAGCTCAGAAGCCAGCCCTGGGCTTGGTGTCCACAGCCATGAGGCCCCCAGGGTCCCCCACAGGGCCTCCCTGTGCTTCACAGGACTTGCTCTTCTGGTCCTCACAGCACCCTCTGGAGGGAGGTGCTGTCCCCTTTCTGTACATGGGGAACTGAGCTGGGGAGTGGCAGGGCCCAGAGCTGAGCCCAGGCGTCCAGCTCCCGGCCTCCTGCTCAGCCTCCCTGGGGCGCGGGCTGTCCATCACAGGGAGAGCAGTCCCTGCCCAAGCGTCACACAAACCCAGTGCAGTCCCCAGATAACGTCCTGTGCTCATGAGCTCTTCCTGACAATGGTCATCACCACCACCATTGTGACTGTGGTTATTTTTAGTCCACTGCAGAGAATTCCATTTGTCCCCAGGGAGTCGGCGCCTGGTGCAGCCTCTGCTGAGCCCCAGGGCATACGCCACCGATGCCTGCCAGGGGCTGTGGCTCCTCCCAGGGCGCCCAGCAGAGAGCCACAGTCCCTGCCCAAGGCACTCACAGCCCTGATGGGGGACAACCCATAAACAGAGAGCTACAGCTGACAGCGTGTGGGGTGTCCTCCCCAGAATGCCACCCCAGAAAGGATGAGGAATCTGTCCTACCTGAGATAGCGTTAATCACAGATGCAGASATAGGAGGGAATCTAGTTTTCTCTCTTTTTTCTGTTTTTACTGCAATGATCACATTATTTTGAATTTAGAAGAAAATTTTAAAAAATAASTACAGCACCAGGCAAATTGTGACATGTGCTCTAAGCATTTCTTGGCAGGGGTGCAGGTGGAARAGATCCAGGAGTGGCTTTTTTCAGGGTGGGAAGAGGTGGGACCGGCATCTCAGATGATGGGCTCCTGCAATCAAAAGTGCAAAACAGGAAGGTGGTGCCCACTTGGGGGTTGGGGTGGGCCCCAGACCTAGGACACAGGTGTCCCTAATGTGAGGAGGCCACTCTCCTAACCTGAGGATGTCCCCTCACACTTCAGACCAAGCTGCACTGTCACAGCCCTCGCCAGCCCCTGACCGAGTGCTTGTGTTGCAGGTTCCTAAGCCAAGCCTCCCAGATCTACGACTCCTCCTTGATTGCCAGTGTGGGCTACATCCTGTCCACCACTGTGGCCATCACTGCAGGTAAAGGGCCATCATAGGTTCCCGTCTTCTGCTGAAGCAGCAGGGGCATCACCCCAGTGGGTAGGGGCTTGACCACTGCCCCATTGACTGATTCTGCCTGTGGAGTCATGTGACTTCATGGAGAATGTGCAAGACCTGGGTTAGCATCTCAGTACAGACATGCTCACTGTGTGACCTTCGCAAAGTCACTTAAGCTCTCTGAGCTCAGTTCCATGTTTCCAAAATGGGAGTAATCACACTTAGCTCCTAGAATAGCATTACATATGATCCAAGTGCCTCTGCCCCATACTTCTTGGAGATCCCAGGCAGGGTTTCTTCAACAATCTGGGTCRTCATCTGCAGCACCCCAGCCCCTACTAGCCAAGTGATCAGACATCTGTTCTACATCATTTTTAGAGGTTGTGAGTATTTGAAGCGAACCATTCCACCCCCAATTTTTTTTTCAGTTTTTTCCTCAAGCAGCTTGCAAGGTTTCAAGTATATCAATGAGCTTGTTGTTTAGTTTTTAAATTGCAATGGTGACTAAAARTCCTCAGAGTAAACAAGCTGATAAGGACCCAGCACTTCCGCTGGAAGAGGGCCCGGCTGGGCAGCGGGGAGCTCTGCACTGCACTTAGGACAGGTTGGACCCAGATCCATTCTCAGGGGCAAGAACAAGGGCACACAGCCTCCCAGGACCTGGGCTGTGAGCGGCTCCACCCAGAGCAGCCACAGCTAAGTCCCAACTGAGAACCTTGGTCAAGAAGATGGTAAACAAGTCAAGGTTGCAAGCAATAGCAAATGCTGTGGTTGAGTCAGAAATGAGTCAAGAAGGGGGTAGGAGCCCCGGAATACAGCAGGAAGCCATGGGGTTGCATCGATGTCAGACAGAGGTAGGCTGCAGGGCAGCACAGTGGGCACGGTATCCCCACACTGCAATAGTGGAGCTGTTGGCTGGGCATCCGCTGGCCACCATGGCCCAGAGGCCCTGAGGATGCAGACACAGGGTCTGTGTATCCAGCCCAACAGCGAGGAGGGGCAAAGGCGTGCGTGCCTTATGTGCGTGCGTGTGTGTGAGAACGGTAAAGAAGGTCGGTGGCATCCATTAGGAGCATCATGGCAGTGTCATTGTCCTGGTTTTGATCATGCATTGTGGTTACATGATCAAAAGCTGGAGGAAGGGTAGGTACGTGGGACTCTGCCATTGTGAGAGTCTGATATTATCTCAAAACATTCAAAAAAGAAAAAAGAAAGGTAAAGATGAGAGGGGGCTTGCAGGGAGACCATCTGTTCCCCTAGGTGGCCTTTAGTCGTTACTCTAATGTCTCCAGGCATCTGTTCCCTGCAGGGAAGAGAGCTAGCCCATCCCAGACAGATGGGTGACGTTTTTATTCCTGGCGACACAGGTGCAGTGTTTTACCTGGACTTCGTCGGGGAGGATGCGCTGCACATCTGCATGTTTGCACTCGGGTGAGTCCCGGGCACGCTGGCCCAGGCACAGCAGCGGGCTGAGCTCCAGGCAAGCTCACCCTCCATCCAGGCTTCAGTCTCAGGATCCCTCAGAGCCAGGGAGCTGTGGGTCTGGACCTTCCATCTTACTCCTCAATATCTCCTCCTCCTCTCTTCTCTTTGGGGCGTTAATCTCTTGGTCATTTCTAAAACAATACCTTTTTGACCCATGAAAAGGCTCTCATCCTTACCCCACATCTAAGAAACAACATTAAAGTTCCATAAGAGACCAACATTTTGCAGAAACTTAACAGGATTGATAATATTCTGATGGCTACAGTAGAAATAAGGAGGTGCCACGAAAAATCAAACACAGGCTCAGAAGTGGGGTGGGGGGTGGGCAAGGCAAACCTATGCTTCTAGCAGAGGGGGCTTCCCCAACCTGGCTAGCAAGTCCACCTGCTTATGTCTTGAACATGGCCAGTGCTGTCCTTCACCCTGATTGGAGGAGTTCAGGGTGACAATCCAATGCGATTGGCTAATTTTAGAATTAGGGTGGGCAAAAGGGAAGGGCTACAATTGGATCCAATTAAGGAGGAATACTAGATTTTGAAAATGAACCACCAGACTTTTCTGTGTCTCACAGTAAGTGGCAGGGGAGACCATGTTTATTGTCAACATCAATAAACATGTTAAATAAGCATACTTTTTTAATGTAGCATTCAATTTGTAAAACTTAACTTGGAAGAACATTTGAAGGGGAACACAAAAGACACATGAAGTATTTAATTTTTAAACTAATTATATAAGCTAACAATTAGAGGTAAGCAAATAACGATGACATAGGGTAAATTAGTTGTGCTGTATTTGTATAGTAAAGCGCTACGGTGCCATTTGAAAACTTGAGGCCAGCCTGTAGGTGCTGACAAAGAACCCYTTGTAGGGTGCATTACATGAAAAAAAAAGGTACATTTTTTTTAAAAGTGGGGCCTGCCCCATGTTCCAGCAATTCATACATCTAGATGTCTTTTTTTTTTTTTTTAGTAGTAGTAATTGGACACAATACCTTTATTTTTGTGTGGTGCTGAGGATCAAACCCAAGGCTTTGCACTTGCTAGCCGAGCGCTCCACCGCTGATCCACAACCCCAGCCCTCCGCATCTAGATTTTTACCCAAAAGAAATGAGTGCATATGTTGGTAAAATGTCTCCAATATGAGTATTTATAGTAGCTTTATCTATAATAAGCTCCAATGAGAAACACCCTAAATGTCTTCCAACAGGAGAGCAGAAAAAAGTATAGACTATTCAGACGATGGGTTMTACACAACTAAAACTAATGAATTACTAATACATGCAATAAAGTAGATGAATCTTTCTTTAATTTTCTTTTAATTATACCTGGGCACAATATTTTTATTTTGTTTATCTTTATATGGTGCTAAGGATCGAACCCAGGGCCTCACACATGCAAGGCAAGCGCTCTGTCCCTGAGCCACAACCCCAGCCCAAGTAGATGAATCTTAAAAATAATTTATTGGATATAAGAAGTAGAGGTTGTACGATTTGACTAAGGAGAATTTGAAAATAGGMAAATGGCGTCCATAGTGAGAAGTCAGGCACAGGCTCTCTCCGTATAGGATGACTGCCATTTCCTGTTGCATCTGGAAGGGGCACAGAAAGCTTCCAAGGAGGGGGGGAAATGGTTCTGTCTGGGCCTGGGACGCGATGATAGAAGCAAAAGCCACCCAGATGCACATTTAGGGTTCTTGGATTTTATTGCATGTAAATTACACATCTATTTTTAGAAACTGGTTTACATAAGCTATCAGGCAAAAATAGAAAAATACTGGGGAAGACTGCACAACTACCTGGAGCATAGAGGGGTGCTTGGTGGGGGGGGCACAGGAAGCCCCCTTTTCAGTTTTTAAAGATTTTTACTTTTCTGTACTTCTGTAGTGATGGAATCTAGGCCATTAAGGTTTTGGGGGGKTTTATATTTGTTTTTAAAGACAAGGTTCTGAGACTCCTGGCCAAGTGGCAGTGAAAGAATCAGGAGAGTCTAATTTATTCTGATTACAGCTTGGTGCCTGCGGGGCGCGTGGGCTGCTGGGCTGTTATTATTCAACTAGTGTTCATACCCCCCCACCCCCAGCCTGGCCGCTCTCTGGGCTGTGGGGCCTTTCCCTTAGCACCTGTGATTGCAAGAGTCCCTTATCTCCCTCCCTCAGGTGCCTCATTGCGTTCCTGGGAGTCTTCTTAATCACACGGAACAGGAAGAGGGCCATTCCATTTGAGCCCTACATTTCCATGGATGCCATGCCAGGTAACGTCCAGACCCCACGTGTCCCACTGGCCCTTGGTATAGAATGACTGCCATTTCCTGTTGCAAAAGAGACAGCTCTGGGCTGGGTACAGGAACTGTGTTCTGTGCCTTTACGGTGTGACTGTTTTTTCTTTCTTTCTTTTTTTTTTTTAATCTCATTGTGCAGAAGAGGAGGCAACAGCTAAGGCACCTCGGATGGTTTTGAGAGTACATCTTGCCCATTCCCCTGACTATTTCGGGATCTTTTAGAGAAAACCCTGATGCACACTGAATGTAATTATGATCTGCAGCGCCAGGCTTCATGCCTGAAAGTGGAAAAATCCATTCATCTTGTTGGAATGGAATGATCAGAGAGGGGAAGGAAAACAGGATGAATGAAATTCAAATCCTATAACCTCACTCCCTGGATTCCACAAGGGAGTAGATTGTTCTAATTTTCCGGGGAGCTGAGAAGCACAAGGTCAGATGCCTTTAAGCCTGGACAGTAAGATAAACTTGTGAATGCTGAATCGGCCCAGCGCTGCACAGCAGGGAGTGGCGGGGCCTGCAGAGAACCCGAGAGTGCTGTGCAGCCAAGAGGGATTCCGGCTGGGGGGTCAGGTGTTGGGCCAGCCCCAGCGAGGGTTGCTGTCCTGGATTCTGTAGGTTGCCAGTGACCGTGAACTTAAACTTATAAGGTGGAGCTCTCTCTCCAAAACATAGTCTCCATTCTTCATTAACAAAATGCAGACACACTGATGACACAGAGCAGCTTTTGGGTGGTGATTCTGTGACACAGGAGTGTCCTCAGGGCTGACCGAGGTGCTCCCTTACCACCCATCCCCAGCGAAAGCAGTTGATTGTCCTTTCTGTATTACCTCCTCACCTCGTGCTGTCCAGCTGTTGTCTGTCATTCTCGATGTGACCAGCCTGCCTGAGGACGGCAGCTCCGCGTCACTCTTCCCATTTCACCCCGCTTGTTCAAGTTACGTGTAAAACCAAGTGGAGTGAGCTCCAAGGTGGGGACCCGAGGCTCCCCCTAGGAGTCAAGTGCATGGGCTTTGGTGCATGGACCTTGAAACGTCTAATCTGGCTGCTCAGACGCCTTTTTTGCTTACTTCCTTGTTTCTCGGCTGTGTTCCGGATAGATGAGGGCGCTGGATAGCTGAATTCCAGATAGGTGAGGTGTCAACTCCGTGTGTGCGTGTATGTGTATGTGTATGTGCGTTCGTGTTTGTGAACTACGTATGTGTATATATCTATACAAATACTTGTATATACATATATACAGACATTTTTGGTGGAAAATAGAGGGTAACCTCGGGTAATCTTAGATTCCAACATTCTGTGGCCTGTTTGTAGGTGTGCTTCTTGAACTTTCTCTTTGTACCCTGTGACCAGGGGGAGGTCAGACGTCAAGGAAGGGAGACCCTACTCTATCAGGGTGGCTGTCAGGACACTCCTGATTCAAGGCGTGTTCTGTCCTGTGAAGAGTGTGGGCTTGTGGTGCAGATGACTTGGATTCAAATCCCACCTTTGCCACCTGCTCATCCTCACTTGTAAACTGGGTTCCTTCCRGGGCAGTGGTGTCATACGGAAGGGCCTCTTGCACCGTGTCTGGGACATGGTAGATGCCAGCTTGAATTTTGTTTCATTTCCCTTTTGCTTTAAAAAACTTTGCAAGTTTTCAAACGCTTGTTGGACCTGGTAGCACAGGCACAAGGAAACTGCCACAGTCTGTCTTCCAGCCCCTTGGTCCTGGTCAGCAGGAGGACCTGGCCTGTTGTCTGCCTGGATTGCTATCCACACAGCAGACCAGTAGCTGCTGCTCAAGAGGTTTCCAAAAATTCGCTACGTGAACCTGAGAAGAGAGAAGCAGCCCCCCACCCCCACCCCAGGGTCCCACTGGTCCTTTGCTGGCTCAGATGCCTCCTGCCGAGTAGAAACCATGTCATAGATCACCAGTGGCAGATAAGCTTATTGTGTGACCAAAATACCTGACAAGAAAAATTTGAGGGAGGCAAGATTTATTTTGGCTCACAGATTCCAGTCCAGTTTGTGTCAGGCCAAGTCCAAGGCAGAAATGTCATGGTGGAGGGAAGCTGCTCAGCTCCTGCAGGCAGGAAGCAGAGGGAGAGGAAGGGCACAGCCTCAATGACCTCCCTCCACCCGGCTCCCAACTCCCAGCCATCAGTGGATTAATCCATTCATGAGGTCACCTCTGCACCTTGCTGCCTTGGGGAACATGCTTCCAATGCATGAGCTGTTGGGAGACATTCCAGATCCAAACCATAGCACAAGGCCACGCTGGCCATCATGGGTGACCACACAAACAGGGCCACTCTGTTGTCATGTCTGAGCACAGACAAAACATAAACATTGTCCACACCGTATAAAAAGACCAGCAGCCCACCCTGCACCCCGCAGGCTAGGGTGAGACCCTCCTGCCTCCTTGCCAGTCACATCTGCAGCCTCAGCCTAGGCTTCCCTCCTAGAGAAGACCTACTAAGATCCCAGGAGAAGTAGCCCTGCTCTCTGGACAGCATTGGAGCCACAGCAGAGCCTCCCTTCCTCAACCCCTCCCCACCCCCCCACCCCCCCACCCAAATCCCAGAATGAATCCTTTCTGACACCCTGTGACTCACACACCCCTGGCTCCCCAGGGCGTGCATCTTACTGGGGTGCATCCATAAACCTGAATCTGCTCAGCTGTAGGTGTGTTCCTGGTCCTCTTTGCCTGGGGAACATTGTCAAGATCAAAAGCTAAACAATGCCTTGGAAGCCACTCCTCTTCCCTGAGGAACAGTCACCCAAACCCAAATCCAAACTACAGACTCTTCAGCTGTGCCCCTCCAGTGACCATCAGCTGAGTCATGTGCCACATGGAGGCAAGGGGCCTTCCACAGACTGGGTGCTCCCAGGCCAGCTGCAGGCTGGAGAAGAGCAGAGCCCAGCCCCATCTCGCTGGCTGTGTGATCCCAGGCACATTGCCCCTTCTCTATGAGTCTGCTTTCTTTCTTTTTAATATGCTTTTGGTTGTAGGTGAACACAGCACCTTTATTTCATTTCTATGTGGTGCTGAGGAGGGAACCCAGGGCCCCACACGTACAAGGCAAGCGTTCTACCCGCTCAGTCACAACCCCAGCCACTGAATCTGTTTTCTTATCTAGGAAATGAGGGCAGCAGCTACCTCTGTCCTAGAACCCTTAGGGGATTCAGTGCAGATAGGTGGGGAGACCACMCAGCCTTCCAGCTAAGAGTTGCTTCAGAGTGTGGCCCCCTGGATTGGCAGCCTGGCACTGCCACTGGAGAGCTGCTGTTCCCGGGCAGTGAGCCTCCAGCTGCCTCACTCTCCTCAGCAGCAGCTGTGAGGGCCGTGTGAGAAACAACCGTCCAGCTGTTCAGAACAGTGTCTGCCACCATCTGAACACTCAGACCTCGGCCACTGTCACCATGGGCACTATTACTACTTAGGGGCACGTTAAGCCATCAGATGCYAGCTGTTACCCATGATGTCTTCAGGAAGACACTTTGCAGTCAGCTTCTTCTAACTCATCCTGGGGACAGGAGAATCTGAGAGTCTATTCCTTGACAAGAGAAGAGATGCCCTCAAAAGTAACCAGGTCCCCCCTAACTGGAGGAGTGACAGGGTAAGGCTAAAGGAATTCATTGAGATCTCTGCCTTCAAATGTGAGTAGAAACCCAGCGTCACGTGCCCACAGAGCACTAGCATGGCCGTACGTCACCCTGCATTTGGACAGGGGATGTTGGTGTTGAAGATCAGCACCCTCCAAGCATCATGATGTGTCTGGCCCCCCATGTCCATGATGCCTAAGTTACTCTCGTCCCTCAACAGTACAGTGAAGCGCTCTGACTTCTGAGTTCATTCAGCAGTCGAGTGTTGGCATCTACCACATCCAAAGCATGGTGCCCTTTCCACCCCGCTGTGGGTCCAAACACACATCCCATCTCATTCTAGGTCCACTGGTGGTTCCTCCAGACAGTGGCTGGTCAGTGGCTGGTCTGTGTGCATATTTCCTRAAGACTTATCTCTGTTGCTTAGCAACTGTCCCTTTCCGAGTGTTCTCTTTTCAACCTAAAGCATTCAGGAAATGGGCGTGCACATGACTGGCCCCTGGCCGCCTGCTTAGTGTGGCGGGTGGAGGAAGGCGCAGCCTCTTGGGCCTCCTTTCTGCATAACGACRGGCATGGATTTCATTTCAGGGATGCAAAACATGCATGACAAGGGGATGACGGTGCAGCCTGACCTCAAAGCTTCTTTTTCCTATGGGGCCCTGGAAAACAACGACAGCATTTCYGAGATCTACGCTCCTGCCACACTGCCAGTCATGCAAGAGGAACACGGCTCCCGAAGTACCCCGGGGGTTCCCTACCGAGTGCTGGAGCACACCAAGAAGGAGTGAGCCTCCCGGACYGAAGCTCGCCCCCCTGGCCGCCCACACCCGGCTGACGTGGCCCCCTTCCTTCTACAACTTGCCTTTCAAGTCGTTTTTTTTTTTTTTTTTTTTGATCAAGAACTCTATAGAAGGGGGATCTTGGAAAGCCTTTGTGACCTTGGTCTTGAACTTCCAAATGGGGAGGCTGGGGAGGGGGAGAAGAGTATTCCAGGTGGGCTGCGTGGAATTCAGCCCAGCCTGGCTTAGCCTTCTGGCCTCCCGAGGGCACTGAGCCTCCCCAGGCAGTGACCAAAGGTTGCCGTGCTCTTGGGCGCTGCAGGCAGAGATTCTGCTCTTACTCCTAAATCCAGCRAAGCCCTGGGGACCTCTGAACTCGTCCTCCACCACTTGCAGGCTCATCTCCCACCGTCTCACTCAMAATTCGCATTTTTGACAATATCCACTGGCTCTGTTCAGGGGCATAGCAGGCCTGCTGTGAGCGGAACACACGGTCACTGGCGCCTTGGCAGTGTCCCTCGGCCTCTGGTCATCAGTGTTGGATCTGCTCTAGAAACTAATGTGGTATTGGTCCTGTGAGAACTGCATGATCGTGTTTCCCCCAAAGGAATGGGGGAGTTAGAGAAGGAGGAGGAGAATAGGAGGACTTGGAGCCAGGGGATGTCTTTATACAGGACAGACGGGGAAATCTGAGTTACTTTCCCTCCCAACACCCGCTGGGAAGTCTGGAGACGCTCAGCCCAGAGCCAGCCTGCAGCCGCCCCCTCCATGCTCTCCTTCAGAGACCTACCACCCACCTGGTCATTTCCCTGGAATCAGTGCAGGCTGCTGGGGTCCCCGGCCACAGCGCTRTGCCTGGGAGAAGCAGCTGTACTCACAGATGGGCTGCTGCTCCCTCTGGCTGCAGACCTGATCATCTTAAAGGAAAGAAAGGTTTGCAAACTTTAATGAACATAAGGGTCCCTCAGGAGTTTATATAAAATGCAGATTCCTGCACCCCAGCCACGGAGACATTTTAGGTGGGCCTATGGGGTAGGGCCCAAGTATCTGCATTGGCAAATGGCACCATAGCTAGTAACCCGAGATCACAGCCCCCGAAAGCCTGCAGTGGAAAGAGGCAGCTCTTGGGACCCCAAGGGGCCCCTGCTAGAAGGTGAGAGTTGTGCTTCCATTTCCTCTCTGGGCTGCTTGTGGCAGGTTGAGTGGCCCCATAGGATCTGTAGCTTTCCCCCACCCTTTGAGTACTACTTAGATCAGCTGCTGCTTCCCAGGGCAGCCTTTAACTAAGGCAGGATAACAGTGTTAACAGGCCAGTGTTGATAGGTCACTTATCTCTATAGATTGTGCTTAATGCTGATTTAGTTCCCTGACTTCACAATTCCTGTTGTCCATAATAACCACTCTGTATTATGTCTTAACCACTTCTGTATTGTCTTAAACGCCTACCAAGGCAACAAAGAGCTTTTTGTTCCCTTAGGATGAGTATCGAAACCGTTCAACAATATTTATGAGGTATTTACTGCTGTTAAGCATTTAGAGGGTGAAGCTACAGCAGGACAGGGTTCCCATCCTCCAGCCAGCAGGGGGAGACACAGGGATGCAGGAGACTCCTGCAGGGCTGTGAGAGGTGCACACTTTTTTTGCGGGGCTGGGATGAACCCCAGGCCTTGCGCACAATAGGTAAGTACTCTACCCCTGAGCTACACTCCCAGCCCCAAGAGTAGACCACAGAAAGCAACAGGCCAGGCCCTGAGCCCAAAGGGTTTTCAAAATTGGAGGTGATTCTGGCCCCAGGAACAGATAGTAGTGACAATGACGGTGCCAAGCTAAGATTTGAGCAGAGCATATAGAGTGGGGTGGTCTCACACACTCTGCTCCAGCAGAAGAGCTAGCATTTGCAAAAAAGAAAAKGGGTGGGAGATGAACCAGGAAAGATCAGCAGTGGAGGCTGAGCATCCTGAATACCCGGCAGAAGAGTGGGAAGTGTACCCTGGAGGGCCTGGGAGCCCTTGATGGTTCCTGAGGACGAGAACGGCAGGATAAGCTCTGATTGGACAGGAGGCCTTGTTCAGTGTGGAGGAAGAAACAGGCTGAGAAGGCACCTTTCAAGGTCAACCTCTGGGCCTGCAAGGACACACCAAGGGGAAATAGAATCAGGTTTCAGTGCTCTTCAGATATTCCCGTTTCCAGGTGGTTTTTCTAGGGTCAGGGAGGGGCGGAGTGGTAGGGAAGGTCAGTGGGAGCTGTTCATTGCACCCAGCCAGGTGATAGGCCTTGGCTTTCTGAGTGCTCCCAGCCTCCCTCCAGCCCTGTCCCTTCCCACTTTGGTTAACGAGCCATGTGGCCTTGGGCCAGCCAGCTCTCTTGAGATGCGTGGATACATGGGCACCTTAATTTCAGGTCTGCTATGGGTCATTCCTGGGTGACAATGACAGTGCCACCCAGGAACTGCCACCAGGGCCTAGGCAGCTCCCTGTCCTTAGGTCTGAGCCAGTGGTGTCACCCCTCAAGGCTGAGCAGAAGGCTGTGGTGGTTTCCTGAGTGCAGCCAGAGGACCATCTCAGGCAGCTGGAAAGGACAGCCGAAGTGGGGCCCTTATGTCCAGAGTTCCGAATCTGCCCTGGGCTGGCCACTCCCAGGCGCTGTCCATAGGTGAAAGTGGACCATCCACTAATGGTGATGCAGCACTGGCTGGTAGGAGCCACTCCCAGCTCTGAGTCCTGTTGTCACTCACGGCTCTGACATTCCCAGCCCTTGATGCTCCAAGCCTCATTATCACCCCCGTCCTCCCGGCAGCCAGGTACYTGATGGAACGTCACCAAATGTGGGTTTAAACTTCCGCTGATCTCTGGTCTTCCTCTCCCCCCTGTTGTACAGCCTGGGATTCTGGGTTCCCTGATTAGACATTAAACAAGTTCAGAGACTGCTTTGAAGATGGGTTTTGCAGCATGGGATTGAATGCTGGGCAGGGAAGGGAGGGCCAGCATCTCCATTGTGTTTCTAGTAGGAACCAGCCAGCTCCAGGGTGCTGTGCAGATGGGGCATCGGCGCATCTATCAGGGTGGTACGGGGAGCCCCACCCAGCAGCCTGTGAGTTCCTAGGTTCGACCCCACACTGGCTGGTAGGCAAAAGAAAGTCGCTTGTATGTTTCCCTGAGAAGCTGTGTAAGTGAAGTCACTTTAGGACATATTCTATGTGGATGCTTATATTTTGTTAACTTCATGGCTAATATAGCATGTCTTATTTTTTAAAAAGAAAAATGTGTACTAGGTGCAAATAACACTGAGGTGGTATTTAATTAAAAAAAAATCCATGCAGTATATATTGAATTTGAGTCTTTTGTTTGGCTAATATTTTCTAGATTCATCCAGAACAGCACTGGCTAATAGCACTTTCTGTGACRGCAAAAATGTTCGATGTCAGTACTGTCCTATATGGCAGCCATTGTTCACATGCACTGTAGAACACTTTAAATGTGGCTAGTGTGCCTAAGGAACTGGATTTTTAATTTCCTTTCATTTTAATTTAAATTTAGAAATCCACACACGGCTACTGATTGCTGTATGAACCCTGCAGAACCCTGCAGACCTAGAGATGCCCATGATGCAAGGGAAGCTGAAGCGAGCACTTTTCCCCTTCAGTGGTTAAAAGCATAGACCCTGCCTGCACGGCTTGTTAGCAGTGTGGTGGAGGGCAAGTTTCTTAACATCTCGGCACCAAATCTGTGAAAAAGGAAGGTTAGCAAACTACCTAAGGGTTATTATGAAGAGCAGATGAATTAATAGATGGGCAGTCTTGGGACCATCCCCTCAGGACAGGGTGTTATATTGAAGCAATAGTTTCCCTCTTGTTTGAATCAGCTTGTTTTCTGCCATGACCAAAAGACCTGACGAGAACAATTTTAGAGGAAGAAAAGTTTTATTTGGCGCTCACTGTTTCTGAGGTCTCAGTCCATAGATGGCCAACTCCGCTGCTCCAGGCTTAAGAAGAGGCAGAACATCATGGCAGAGGGAGATGGAGAGGAAAGCAGTTCAGGACCTGGCAATCGGGGAGCAGAGAGAGAGCTCTGCTCACTGGGGAAAGCATATGTACCCCAAAGGCATTCCCCCAGGGACCACCTCACCCACCACATCCTGCCTGCCTAGTTTCCACCCAGGCAATTCCATTCAAGTGGATTAATGCACTTTTAGGTTAAGGCTCTCTAACTCAATCATTTCACCTCTAAACATTCTTGCATTGTCTCATGTGAGCTTTGCGGGGAACACCTCATCTTTAAACTTTATTTAAATTTTTTCCATTTTAAATTATATAATGAACACTTGTGACTTAAGCAATTCTATGCACACATGTCTCTTCATTCTGAGTTTCCAACTTATAAAGGCAGGTGTTGTATAGTACCTGTTTGCTTATACCACAACTTACGTAAATGTATACATACTCATACATTTACAAAGCACATACTGTATACCATGATACATGAAGACCTTAAGTATACCTTGTGTCTCCTTTATGATGCATTTATGAAGCACTTACTGTATACCACACATAAAACCTCATGTTTATCTCAAGTTTTCTTTATAATTATTCCACAAAGTTTGATCTTATCCCCATTTTACAGACGAAGAAACTTGAGGCTTGGGTCACATAGCTGGTGAACAGCAGAGCCAGGATGCCAGCCCAGGGCTGCCTGGCTGGGACCCTGAGCTCCCTGGGCTGGGCTGCCTTTCCCAGTGTGSTGGAGCGGGTTTCAGTGGGCAGGGGTCTGTGCATGAGGACTGCAGCTTCGGCTGAGAAGGGAAGGAAAACTGTTTCAAGGGAGGCTGGGACCTGCAACAGAAGGCCATCYGCTGAGTCTCTGGGGACATGCATTAGTGGTTCCACCATCTAACCACTAACCAGACAAAGGACACTGCGCAGCCATCACAGAGCTAGAGACACTTTTGAATCCACAGGAATCCATGAATCTGTTGAATGAGACAGTACAACTTAAAGGTCATTCAGTGGTGACTTCGTTTTGCTTTTGAGATAAATTCAGCTTTCTTGGTCCAAACAAACCCAGAGGGAAACAAAGTCCACGCCCTGTGTCACCAAGAGATTGGTAGGTCAGCACCCGTGTCCCCTCGTGGCCTTATTAAACCACAACACACCAGGCAGAGTATTAGGTTATAAATATAAAAGAAACGCAAGCCAAGMCGTGGACATCTTGTGACGCCACAGGTGTTGATGTGAGCGCGTGAAGGTCTGTGAGGCCCAGGGGGACACCAGATCAGGGGGCAGTGAGGACATGGCCTCACCGTCTCCATGTTCCGCGGAAACATGATCTCTGCTTTGCACCCTGGAAATCTTTATACGCTCAACTCTCAGGACTACTTTTTAATTAAAAAGCAAGTCACAGAGCCCCTGTTGAACTCTCCTAAAACCTGTTTGTCCTTAACTCAAAAACTGAAAGACAGCTGYGCGGTTCTCCCAATGAGGAGGCCACAGAGCTGCGTAGATGGTGCTTGGTTACAAATACYGTCTGTCACACACACCTCTCTTCATATGGATGAGACTCGGCATCTTTGCATGGTTATGTACCATGTGTTTTTCTGTGAATTGCCCATTCTCTTTACCCATTTTTCAGTGCCTCCTGCTGATTTTTAAGTGATTTTTGCCACGGATAAACCCTTTACTGTGATCTGAACTACAAGCATTTCTCCCCTCTTTGGTTTTTTGCCTTTTGATTTGCTWATGATATTTTTTTCACTGCTATGAAAAAGTCTGGGGTTTTTTTTGTGTGTGTGTTTTATATAAAATTCAATTATTTCTGTATACCTATTTGTAGATATAAGTATTTATACACATAATGTCTTTTCTCTTGTAGCCTCTGGATCTCAAATCGGTTTGATAGGTCTTCCCCACTCCAAGATTATAAAAGAATTCTCTTGTATCTTCTACTTTTTATATTTTTGCTTTATGTTTACATCCGAGAGCTACTGGGAGTTTTTCCTGGGTACAGCGGGGTACAGGGGGTGGAGCCACGTCAATTCAGTCCAGATCGCAGCCCGCCTCGCCCAGGTCTGTGCCTGGACTAGTCCAGCTTAGCCCTAGGAATTGAATGTCACTAATATAATACTAAATTTCTATATTTGGGGGACTTGCACTCTGCTCATCTGTCTGCCTAGTCACTCACCAGGAGCACGCTGTTGAAATCACTGAGGCTTTTCCGTGTACTCTAGTATCTGAGAGGRCAAGTCTTAGTTCGTTATTCTCGTTTAAACTTCTTACTTCATCAAATAAGCACACTGAACAGGACCCAGTTCCTAAAAATTCAGGCATCCATTCTGATTGAAATAAATCACAGAAATTCAAGAAGGAAGATAGACGTCACAGTATGGGCATTTCCAAATCACTGCTGYGGTTTCAAAATCCAAAAAGCTTGGACTTGAGAAAAGGCTCAGAGCTCCCTGGGATACTTTGGAACTGAAAGGGCAAGAGATAGTCCCTTCACCTCCAGCCAAGTCAGCTACAGCCAGCAGCTCCAGCTCCCCGGTGATCCACTTGGATAGTAAGTTTATCTAATTTGTATTTCAATGAAACCCATATGTCCTGGGCCTGTCTCAGGTCTCGGGAAGTCATGATCCACACCCCCAGATCTTTTTTTTTTTTTTTTTTTTGGTACCTGGAATCAAACCCAAGGGTGCTTCACCACTGAGCCACATCCCCTTTTTATATTTTATTTAGAGACAGGG